AGTAGGAGACGGGGTTTTCACCGGGTTAGCCAGGATGGGTCTCGGATCTCCTGACCTCGGTGATCCGGCCTGTCTCGGGCTCTCCAAAGTGGCTGGAATCTACAGGCTTTGAGCCCCACCGCGCCCCGGCCTTGGAATTGTTTTTTTTAAAGAACAGTAGTTTTACTGGCTGGAAAAGAAGAAAGATGGCTGCGTGGAGTTGGGTGCGGGGGTGGCAGGATGCGTGAGTGTGGGTGGCAGGTGTGTGAGTGCTGGTGGGACGGGTGGTGTGGAGGTTGGGGTGGCGGTGGTGAGTGGTTGTGGGTGTTGGTGTGTGACGTTGTTGGGTGGAGCTGTGTGGATGTGGGCAGGGGACGTGGTGTGTGGAGTGTGGTGGACGTGTGTGAGTGTTGGGTGGAGCAGGCTGTTGTGGGGTGCTGCGGCGGTTGTTGTGAGTGTGGTGGTGGTGGGGTGGTTGGATGGGGTGGTGCCAGGGAAAGGGACAGCATCAACCATGGTATGGAGGGGATATGGAATCAAGACTTGTGCCTGGCAGCACTATGTTTGAAACGCTAAATGGACATCTAGAAATGTCACAGAGGCATGTAGAGGTGTGTGTCTGCAGTTCTGGGGTGAAGGCGCAGCTGGAGATCTAAATTTAGCAGTCCCTGGTATATACATGGTATTACATGGTATTTACGTAAGACTAAATGAGGTTGCTCAAAGAATGCGTAGTTACACAAGGGACCCCAGTTTGGAGGCTGAGAAGACAGATCACCCTAATATTTATTTATTTATTTATTTAGAGACAGGGTCTTGCTGGGCTGCCCAGGCTGGAGTACCGTGGTGCGATGATGGCTCACTGCAGCCTCGACCTCCTGGGCTCAGGTAATCCAGGTAGCTGGGACTACAGTCACGTGCTACCACACCCGACTAATTTTTTGTACTTTTTTTTTTTGTAGAGATAGGGTCTCCTTTTGTTGCCCTGGCTAGTCTCAAAATCCTGGGCTCAAGTGGTCCTCCCACCTCAGATTCCCAAAGTGTTGAGGTTACAGGTGTGAGCTACTACTCCTGGCCACCACTCTAATATTTAGAGGGTAGTCTAGGAGGAGGAGCCAGCAAAAGAAACTACAAGGAATGGCTAGACAGGTGGATGGGTTGGGGGGGGTGACAACAAAGTGTCAAGGGGAAAAAAGAGTCTCAAGAAGGAGGGATTGATGGATGGTTTCAAATGCTGCTGGGAAATAGAGAAAAATTAAAACAGAGAAGTGACTATTGTAGTAACGTAGAGATCATTAATGACCTTGACAGAGGCTATTTAAGTGCAGTGGTAAGGTCAGAGGACAGAGTGGAAGGTAGAGCTGCGTGTGGTGGCACATGACTATAGTCCCAGCTACTAGGGAGGCAGAGGCAGGAGGATCACTTGAGCCCAGGATTTTGAGGCTGCAGTGAGATATGATCATGCCACTGCACTCCAGACTGGGTAACAGAGCTAGACTGTCTTTAAAAAAAAAAAAGTTGTTTTTTGTTTTTTGTTTTTTTTTCTTGAGAGGGAGTTTTGCTTTTTGTTGCCCAGGCTGGAGTGCAATGGCTTGATATCAGCTCACCACAATCTCTGCTTCCCTGGTTCAAGTGATTCTCCTGCCTTAGCCTCCCAAGTAGCTGGGATTACAGGCATGCACCACCACATCCGGCTAATTTTTTTATATTTTTAGTAGAGACGGGGTTTATCCGTGTTGGTCAGGCTGGTCTTGAACTCCCAACTTCAGGTGATCCACCTGCCTTGGTCTCCCAAAGTGTTCGGATTACAGGCGTGAGCCACCGTGCCCAGAAAAAAAAATGTTTTTTTAAGTGGAAGACAGATAAGGAAGTGAGATGGACAAGAGCAACCCTTGACTCTGGGCTAGCGGGTGTTCTGGCCCCTCCTCCTAAGGGTCATTCTGATGAAAGGGAGGTGGCTTATGGTCCTCTGAAAGGGCTGGCCAGGGCCCAAAAAGAGCCAGGTCACTTACACCAGGGTGCCAGGGTGCACTGGCCCTTGATTATCAGACTCATGTCAGCCCATTCCACAGGCATGCAGTACCCTCAAGGCTCCACATAATGTTCTTAAAACAGCACCTGGCACATAGTTGGTGCTATATAAATTTCTGTTATAATTATACCAGTTTCTAGGCAAGCTTTATCGGCTTCTAAGAACAAATCATTTATGTAAACCAAATCATTTTCAGGGTATGTAAAGTCTATATTCTCTTTTTCTGTCTTCCTTTCTCTCTCTCCTTTCTGGGTTCTGATTAAGATGGAGAGCTCTCCCTGGAGGGTCTGGGATTGAACCACCAAAGAAGGGTAGAGCAAACAAAAAGGGAAATAAATGAAGGCATATCCAGAGAAATACATTTATGGAAAACACCAGCATTGAAGAAAATACAGCATGCAGTGCATTGAAGTTTTGTACCTGTTGTACAGGTAGCAAAAGATGACAGATAGAGGGTGGATTTTTTAGTTTTGGTTAATTCATTGGTAAAGTGGGAAATATTCATGCAGAAATGGAGGAATGATCATGCAGTACTGCAGTGGTTCCTTTGGAGGAATTTTGAACGTTGCATTACAGTTCAACTGTCCTGGAAATAAAAAATATGGTAGAAAGCAGAGATGGTGGGGAGGATGTGTAAATATCTTTAACTCCCCCTTCTTGGTCTCCAAACACCTTTATCATTCCATTCAGCCTTAGGCCAAATTCTGGATGCTTTTACAGGTGTTTTTCATGTGTAAAACGTGCATATCTATCTCCTAGGAGCATCGTGGAGATGGAATGAGATATGTAAATTGTGCTGTATATAGCAACTGCATCATTAGAGCATCTTTCAACAGAAGTGCACATCCCCTCATAGCTGATGACTGGCATTTCCTGTTCATTTTTTTCCTTCTACCTCTTAACCTTACTGACGATGCTTTCAATACAAATCTAATAACAACGGCAGCTAACATTTATCATGTGCTCAAATTAAGTCATTTCATCTCCCCAACAATCCTATCAGGTAGGACTGTCATCTTCATCTCCTGAGCTTTGGAATCACATTAGGCAGCCTGGCTTCAGAGTCCAGCACTTTTTGTGTTTTTGTTTTTGTTTGGACAGGATCGCATTCTGTCTCCCAAGCTGGAGTGCAGTGGTGTGATCACACAGCCCACTGCAGCCTTGACCTACTGGGCTCAAGCAATCCTCCAGCTGCAGCCTCCTAGTAGCTGGGACTATAGGCACGCCATCATACCTGGCTAATTAAAAAGAACTTTTTTTTTTGGTAGAGATGGGTCTCCCTATGTTCTCTAGGCTGAACTCGGAACTCCTGGCCTCAAGCGATCCTCCCATCTCGGCTTCCCAAAGTGCTGGGACTGCAGTTGTGAGCCACCGCTCTTAAACGCCCAGCTCTTAAGCACGCAGTACACCACGTTTAGCTGGAGAGACGCCGGGTCACTTCTTGGGCCATACCCTTCTCATCACAAATTCAGGTTTCTCTTACAAACCACCCTTAGTGCCTGCAGTGCCCAGGACTCCTGCCTTGGTTTCTGGGGCCCACGCGAAGGTGAGTTAACTTACCTAGATGGAACCAGCCCAATGGGGTCCCTCTGAACACCGTGAACTTTCACCCCGGCTGAGCAGTAAGTCTGCACCGCTCTCCCTTTCTTTGCGGCCTCAGGGCTGATCCAAAGTGACAGCCCTTTTTACTTACTCTTCCTTTTTACTTACTTTCCTAAGTAGCAGTGCGAGTATTTTTTTTTTTTTTTTTTTTTTGATGCAGAGTCTTGCTCTGTTGCCCAGGCTGGAGTGCAGTGGCGCGATCTCGGCTTACTGCGACCTCCGCCTCCCGGGTTCAAGCAATTCTCACACCTCAGCCTCCCTCGTGGCTGGGATTACAGGCGCACACCACCACACCTGGCTAATTTTTGTATGTTTTTAAAGTAGAGATGGGGAGTCACCATGTTGGCCAGGCTGGTCTCGAACTCCTGACCTTGTGATCCGCCCACCTCAGCCTTCCAAAGTGCTGGGATTACAGGCGTGACCCACGGTCCCCGGCCCTGGTATTCCTAAAAGACGTAGGACCCCACGAATCCCTGCACGCGAGGACGTAAACTGGACTGCTGAGCCCGCCCCAGAGCTCTCGCGCTAGTGCGAGAGGCTGGGACACTGCCAGGTGCATACAGCCGCGGCCTGGCGCAGGCGGAGCGGGCAGATGGTGCGCCATGGCCAGACGCGGTAGCGGCGCAGGCCCGGCCGGTCCGGACGCGGAGGGTGGGGCACGAGCGCAGCAGGAAGGGGGCGTGGCCAGGAGCAGGCCCGGCCGCTCCCCCGCCCCTCCCCCTCCGCTCTCCGCCCCAGCCCGGCGGCTCCGCCCCCTGTGTGACGTCACTGGCCAGGCCAGCCGGCGCCATTTTGAAAGTGGAGTCGCCTACCCCTGCCGCTGCCGCCGCCGCCGTCGCTGTCGTAGCCGCCGCTGCCGCTGCCGGAGAAAGAGCACGAGCGGGGAAGCCCCAGAGTGAAATCTAGCATCCTGCCGGCTGGTCTGCCCGCCCCTCCTTCCTTTTCCCCCGGCCCCCATCCCCTCCCCCCGCAGGTGCCATCCGCCGCCATCCGCCCTCTCTACCCCCCCATCCCCAGGTGAGGGGGGTGAGTTCAGGAAGCGGAGACCCCGAGGAACCCAGCAGGGTCACCATTTGCAGCGCAACATGGCAGGTAAAGGAGAAATCCCCCTCGCCCCCTGACAAGGCACCGCTTCCTTCTTTCTCCCTCCATCACCCCCTAGCGACCGCCCGCGCCTCGCGCGGAGCCACAGGACGCCCCTCGGGTTTGAGGGAGTAGGGTCCAGAGGGGTGGGGTGGGGGCGGGGAGGGCTCCCGGGAGGCAAGTGGTCACAGTGAGAGTCACTGGGCTTGGAGAACGGGGCTGGCGCCGTGGCGGGGGTGGGGGTGGGGTGTGCCGGCGAGCTTGGGGTGAGGCGTGGGTGGGGCGGGGTGGGGGCGCGTGCAGATTTGTCCCTTCCGCTCGGGAGCCTGGTGGATCCTCTCCCACCTCCCCACCTCGCCCCTCACCTTTATTTTTTTTTTCCTGCAGGTCTTCATTTAATTTGTATTTTTCCCCCTGCTGCAAGTCTTCTTGGGTGTATATACACGTTTATTTTGCACCGAGAAGAGCGCTTTACAAGTTAAAATACAATGGGGGCATATGTGTATTTTTTCCCCCACTGTGGATGCCAGTATTTTTGAGACTGGAAGCCTAAATTTTTTGTTTCGAACCATTTCGTTTCCATTTCTTCCCTCTTACCGCCGAAGAGTGCAAGGCCTTTCATGTACAGCAAGTTGCATGAAAATAATTTAAACTTTCCGTTTAGTATGTTAGCTTTTTTGCAGATGTCCTTTTCCCAAAAGGGTTTGGTAGAGTTAGTTAAAATAGTTGCGGAGTTCAGAGATATAAATAGCAAGGAGGAGAGAGATTTAGGTAGAAGCTTTGAAAGGGAGGGGAAAGGATGTAGAGAGAAAATCAGTTTAGGAATAAATTTAGCAAGGAATAGGGGTGATGGGGGAGAGAGAGGTAATGTAATTGCTTTGAGAATTCTTTTTGTACATGTTGGTGTTGCTAAATCTTTTCCTTCATGTAGTAGAATCAACTCCGGATTTAGATTCAGTTTCTTTCTCCCTAGAGCCCCAGGACATTTTCACCATTTCGACCTCAGGACTTGCACGTGAAATAGAAACATTCTGCGATGAGACCAGTTTTCCGTGCTATATTATATTCATTATTTAGATGATTAAACCTTTTGAAAAAGTTAACGTGTCGGATTGACTTAAGGTTTGCTATAAACAAGTTGCTTGTTGGCCTTGTTGAATAATGAAATGAGATTAAAATTGTTTTGCACGAGATGACATGTTAGCGAAATGAATTCTTTGCCAGGTCCTTTGGAGTCGAGGGATGAGGTGAAGGGAGGCAGAACAAGCTTCCTTTGACAGTCTCTTTAGCAGCATTCATTTCGGTTTCTTTTCCTCTCTGTCTGGAGCCAGTGACTTGCTGGTAATGAATGCAAAGAAATGGGTGTAGTGTTTGCTGTGTGTGCACTTTGGTGATAGGGTTCATATGAATCATTACTTCTTACCCAGGCAGTAATGTTCCCGAAGTTTTCTCTTCGTTCTATGTTTCATGGTAGTTAACCTTATTAATTCTTCTGCAGGCTTTTTGTACACTTAAAAAGAAAACTCTTTAACTCTTGATATTTACTTTTTTTCTGGTAGGTCTTGCCTGAATGTAAGGCTTTTACTGTATTTGAGAGGAGGTTTGTGAACAGATGTATAATGACCGTAGATCATGTGCCTTTAAATAATTTCATACCTGGAATGTTTGTTTTTTTCTTTTTAATACAGTACCAACTATTGGGGTCTCATCTTTTTCCAAACTGGTGCTCTTCGTGGTAGTTGTATGTGTGGGCAGAACTAGGCTGTTAGTATCATGCCAACCATGGATACCATCTCTGTGTTTACGAGAGTCAACATAAGCAGAACTCGGTTTTAATTGGTATGTTTTCTTTTTCCAGGAGCTGGAGGAGGGAATGATATTCAGTGGTGTTTTTCTCAGGTGAAAGGAGCAGTAGATGATGATGTAGCAGAAGGTAAGAAAGCGTTTAATAATGCAAATTTTGGATATATAATTTTTTCAGAAATGTTTCCTACTGAGGGATTTCCTTGAAGCCGAAACTGCTATAAATTCAAGATGATTTTGTGTGTATTGTCCAAGAAATGTAAGAACAGTTTTAAAAGTTACCTTTCTGAGAAACAGCCTTAAATTTCATTTGTTATTTATGCCTTGTTTTTATTATTTTTTCCTCTGAATTTATATGAAAGGTGATGAGACGTACAAAATCCTCACGTGAAAGCTGTGAGCTGCATTTAAGGGTTTCTTTGTTATGTAAATTCCACATACAAATAAATGGCGATGCATTTTTATGTTTGTACATTGTTTTAGATAAGTAAATTGAAATAGGTGCCGTCAACATTTGGTTCAGAAACATTCTTAACAGCGTCTTTGATTTTTATGGGAAGATTTTTACCTACTTTTGAATTTGTCCACTTTGGGAGTGTGATGCTGATTGGCATATTCTGTGAAGAAATGATAGCTCAGGTTATTCATTTTGTTGTCTTTCTGGTATTTAGGTGGATAAGACAGTAACAATGCTATGCATATATCGCTTGTCTTCTAGGAAGCGTATATTCTTGTGCAGGTAGAAACTGTGTTTGATCAGTTGAAGTACTTACGTCTAATTTTCTCCCCAAATTTGTTTACTAATGTGTTTCAGAAGTTTAAGTTTTGGAACTTCAAGGTTTTGCATTCATTTGAGATGGTCTTAGGCAGCAGAGGCATTTCCCACAAAGTTGTTGCATTGTTTCATTCCTCAGAAATGTTGATTTTTTTAATGGTATTGTGTGTCTTGAATTACAGTAGGAATTTTCCAAACAAAACTCATAAATTTAAACATGTACTTTTGAATTTTAAAAATTTGGTGAAAATTCATAAACCTTTTTTCCCTAGATTGTGTTGTCCTCATATTTCTGAGCTGTCTGTAGGGTACTCTTTTGGAGGTTTTTTTTCAGGTGGTGGGTGGTAGCCGAATGCTTTTATTTGCTTGTGTCAGTGTCATTCTTAATGAAGTGTCTGTTTTAGAGTGTGGTGAGTCCTATGGGAAGCCAACTGGCACAGGTTATACTTGTCATATTTTACAGAGCTCGCTCACGTTCCTTTTCTTTTGAATCCTTATCTGTTTCTTAGATGAGAAACCAGAGACAAAAGAGACTGACTGATGGTCATGCAAATAGTGTAAATCAAGGTTTTCTGATGAAGTCAGTAGTGTTTGACTTGTTTAGAGAAATAAGTCCTAACTTCAAGGGAGGAGTTGTGTATTACTCATGTTGTAACTATATTACCTGTTGAATAGTAGACACTCCAGTATTGGATCATTAGTTCTGTGCAGTTGTGTAACACTCAGCAAGTTATGAAAGTGCTATATACTTGGAAAATATTCTTTGGTTGAATTCCATTTATTCCCTTAGGAAAGTTGCCCTAAATGCTGAGCACTGAGGGTGCTTGGTGTCTAGAACATAAACTCTGCCCACAAGGAGCTCATAGTTTGCTTGTTAAACATTAGGCAGAAAGACCACGTGGCTTTATTTAATGAGAAGAAATTGATATTTCAAACTGAAGATCATTTACCTAACTGAACCAAATAGCTTGTGATATACATTAAGTCCTCCCTTAATGTTCTGTGACTTTAAGCAAAGAAAGCAAGTTCTATAACAAAAGATGCTGAGCAGAAAAAAAAGTCAGTTTTCAAGAACATATTGAGGTGAAGTTAGGAGATAAATGAGTTATAGTTCCCCTTTGCCGATACTTAGTAGGTGCATTTTTCTACTGATTCATTAAATAATTTTCTTTAGAGGTTAAATATTTTAACATAAGCATATTCTTAGCATCCTAAAACGCTGATACTTGGTATATATATTTTAGTAAAATAACATATATCTTAGTAAAAATATGACTTGTTCTAATAGGTATCATTATACAAATGTATTAAGTATAAAAATCCAATTTTCAAGTGACACCACTTTAATTTGGGTATTTCTGCATGCTAGAGTTTGAATATTATAGTCTTGTTTGTTTTACTAAGGGAAGATTTGCTTTTCTGAAGTAAAATAAGATTATTAACACATTCCCTACCCCCCTACGTTTAGACTGATTTCTTAAACAGGTTACATGTAGCTCAACTTTTACTTGCCTGTTTTCTGTTAATGATACATCTTGATTGTCTCCATATTGCCTACCTTTCTCCCGTCTACATGCGGTCAGCTGCCAGGGCATACCATTTTTACTCTGTAATGCCTTAATATTCTTTGCATACCTGTTTTCACCTCTGTTCAGGTTTCCACTCTCCCTCATCCGAGTTGCAGTAAGTTCCTAAATTATTCCCTGCTTCTTCATCCTATGTTTTGCTTGAGAGTTAATCTTAAATGCAGTCCTAGTTTTGTCGTTTTCCTCATAAGTCCACGGTGGATCACTGTATCCACTGGATTAGGAATTAAATTCAAACATCTCAGTCTAGAATGTGTGACCTTTGTCCAATATGGCCTCTCCTTCTCTCAGTTTATTTGCTGCTATGGCGGATGACCCAGCTAAACAGATACTGTTCTTCAAAGGCGTTCTATGCTGTCTTACTTTAGGGTCTTTGTTTCTGCTGCTTCCACCTTGGAATGCCTGACAGTCCTCCCACAGTTCTCTTACCGGGATCCTGTTCATCCCTCAAATCATGCCTTTAACCTTTTTGCTAATTCTGTCTTTTGGAAATACCTGTTTTTAAAATCTTCCTTTATGGCACTTTATTACATAGATATCATATAGTACCCCACATCTCTACTGTTACGTACTACAAAGTTTAGTGCAGGACTGATTTATCTTCGTACCTTATGCAGGCATGAAACTGCTCTGTCTAGAACAATGCCTGGCACACAGTAGTTGAATATTTGTTTGAATGAAGGAACATAAATATTACTGTTCTTAGGTTTTGAAAGGGGATGAGAAGTGGTAAGGGGATGATTGAGATGTACTTCTAGCAGTCATGGATTTAGTTATTTGGTAGGCTTTTTAAAATAAAAATTTAAAATGCTGTCTGCAGACTCATTGGTAGGCTTTTTATAACCAGATTGATGATATACAACCGTATAATACAAAGAAATCAGGAGACCTTGGGTTTTTACCGTAGCTCCAGCACAAACTAGTGTGTGTCACTGGAGATAAGTACTCCCCTGGGTTTCTGTGTGTTTAGTAATGGAATAATAAGAACGGATTAGGTGATTTCTGCTCTTCCTTGTACTTTAATCTTGTTAATTTCCAAAAGCATCTAAAACCAGCCCAAATTCTTTTTTTTTTTTTTTGGTGAGACAGAGTCTCACTCTGTTAGGCTGGATAGCAGTGGCGCAATCTCGACTCACTGCATCCTCCGCCTCCCGGGTTCAAGTGATTCTCCTGCCTCAGCCTCTTGGGAAGCTGGGACCACAGGCGCATGCCACCATGTCCTGCTCATTTTTATATTTTTATTAGAGATAATTTTGCCGTGTTGGCCAGGCTTGTTTTGAACTCCTGACCTCAAGTGATCCACCTGCCTCGGCCTCCCAAAGTGCTGAGATTACAGGTGTGAACCACCAGCCACAGAATTATTACTACTGGTAATTAATACTACTGGTATTATTTGAGATGCTGGACTCTCTAGAGGCCTTAAAAAATAAATTAATGCTAGTAATGTATTTTATATTTTTAATTTTTCTTTTATTGAAAACTTTCTGTCATGAGACAGTAGGTAAGAGCACAGACTCAGGTGCTAGGCTACATGGTTTGAATCTTGCTCAGTCATTTATCAGTTGTGTGGTCCTCTCTTTGTGCCTAGCTGCCCTCTGTAAAATGAGGATAACAATGAAACCTGTCTTTTTTACAGTGTTGTTTTGATGATTAAATGAGTTTATACACATAAAACAGAACAGTACCCAGCACAAAAGAGCCTTATGAGGATTTAGATACTATTACTTGAACCTTCATATTATTGTTACTTTGAAGGAAGAGTCTTTGGAGTATGAGTAAATTGGGGATTTGTCTTTAAAGCCTACTAAAAATTTCTCAAAGTGAAGGAAATAGCATGTATGTGTGTTTTATACATACTGTTTGATTCCACTAATAATAAATTACCAAATACATTCAAAACTAACCTATAGATTTAGAGACACATATGAAGCTGGTAAAACTATGAAGAAAAGCTATGAAGTAAAAGGAAAAAAAGTACTGTAAAAAGTACTATGGAAGTCAGTATAGTGGCTACCTTTAAGCTGTTGGAAGGGAGTTGTGATTGGGAAGGGTAGGGGAGGCCCTTGGGTGCCATCTTGACTGGAATGGCGGTTGTACAGATGTTTGTAAAGACTAACCTGGGCATTTTTGTTTCAATTTTTGTTTTTCTTTATCTGTTAAATTTTACAATAAGAGGATTTTAGAAATCTAATACAGTACTAAAGAGTTTAGGATGGAAACTGGCAGTCCTCTACCTCCCCACTCCCTAATCCCTAGTCCATCTCCTAAGAGCAGTTGTTCAGCTCATCTGCTGGATTCCTTGGTGCATCATTTCCTTTTTGGGTATAAAATGATATTTCTGTATCTTGTCAATTTTAGCATTTCCAGCTGACTTGCTCATCTAGTAGGTGATAACTAAGCTGTTCACATTATCACCCCCATTTCTGTCCCTATTGTGCCCCAATGTTACATCACACACTATGATTAAATTGGACGTCAGTGCTTAAGTTGTTATGACCGTGCACACTTCTCTACTGAACCAGTAGTGCTTTACAATGTTTATTTCATCCTGAAGGTAATACAGTAATTGCTTGTTTGTTAAGTTGGCTACTATTTGTTTTTTTAAAAAACTTAATCTGGAAAGTATGTGGAATAGTATAATGAACTCCTGTCACCCATCATTGTCAGCGGCCAGTGCTGCCCCATTTATGCTTCCATCACTTGACCCTTTCCCATTCTTTTGTTATTTAATAATGTAATATTTGTTTTTAAAATCTGGATTTAACAAAA